CATCCATTCCCTCAGAAATATAATTATTATATTATTACTTTCTGGTATACTACAGTTGTACTTACGGAGACTGTAGTATAGAGAAGCAAAAGAATAGATTTTTATGGATATACACGTTTTGGTTCCGATAACTTTGTGTTTAATTCCTTTTTTATAAACGTAATGAGTCAGTCCGTCTGAAAGTCTCTCTGTCTGTCGAACTTCTAAACCATTCATACGATTTTCCCATATCCTCCAATCTCGACGAACTCTAGGCTCTCCGACTTTGAAACATATATTTTCTTTTGAGGGAACTTACTATTAAGCCCGTAAGACTGTTTTAAAATTTTCTCAAAAATGGCTCCAAATATTTCAATTATTTCTTCAAAGAAGAACAAAGAAGTGCGCTTGATGAAATATATAGAAGCATTTTTGTTAAAACCCTTAAATTTGTCCTACATCATGGTTGACACTGGATATAGTATAATTTTATATAAGTAGCTTTCGGGAAATTTAATGATTCAATCACGAATATTTCTAAAAATACACAAGAATATTTTATCCTTACGCTTGCCGCTAAAATCACCGCAAGAGGTGTTGCAGGAATCAATTGTCACTGAAAAATTAACTTACTGTTTTAAATATATAGACGCTAAATATCTTCCAAATTAAATTAGCGTAAATTGTAACTAAAGTCACGTAATTACCATGTGGTTGGAAACCTCATAAAAATAAATGAAATCTACAAATTAATGAATAAAAATACATTTTAATTCAGCAAAGTGCAAAAATACTTTATAAGAAAACATCTACTTTATAAAAAAACGTCGTCTGGACACTACACCTACACCCGCTGGATATTGGTTGGTATTTTTTTTTGTCTCCCTCGCATTATTGGCAGAAAAGAGATTTTTATGAAATGACTGATCTGTTAGTAGGATACAAATTGCAAACATATAAAATTACGTAATCTTTACTATTAATACGATAAAGTGTATATTGTTGTAGTATACCTAGTTTCAATTATTGTATTCATGGCTTCAATGAAGCAGAACAAAATTCTAATTTCAACTTCATTTTATTTTCAAGTCAAATAACAACCGTATTTTTTCGGTTCCCTTGACTCAATCGCTTGAAAAATGAATTCGTATGACAAGAATTTGACTGGTTATGATAATTTGCAATAATACAGGCCACTTGTTACAAAACACGTAAGGATTTGACATAAACGGTTATGCGACAAATTTAACATGGTAATGCCAAGTTCGTGAAAATATTAAAAATACAATCAATCTTATTTCAGTTAATTTCAAAGAAGTTATAATAAACTAACATTTCAAACACAGTCAAATATGTACAGTTTTAGAAAGGACTAAAAAAATATCACCGATACCAAAACACTCTTTGTGAGTGTATTCTGAGAGAAGATTAGCAACAAAAGATGCAATGTTTGTTCGTAACAGAAAAAGGAATGAACAACATTTGTATAAATTGTTAAGTAGAGTATTGATAAAAAGCTGTTTCCACAAATTGTACACATACGTAAACGACTACTACAAGATACCTTTCCTGCTTTGAGTGCTCAATTCAAAACTATTTATTAGTCACGTTACACAACAGGGTAATTTTAAATCCAGGCGGACAGAGAAAGCATGCATGTGTGGCGAGAAACAGACGCTCTTCCTATCTCCATTCCGTTAGACAAGGAACACTTTCATCAGTGAGTGCAACGAACGCAAGACCAAGACAGCAAACAAACAAACACGAAGAGAACCATAGTGTTTCGTCTTCTAGGTGGTACAAACATATCTGTGAAAACTGACAGGAAAGAATTTCATTTCTTGTTTTTCTGCCCTTCAGTTAGTACATTTATGTATAGATTCCGCCGATGACGTTCCAGTGCGATTTTTCAAAAACATCAATATATTTTAAAGGGCAGAATGACTTACGTTTCTGAACGGAGTAGCTTCTGAGATCGATCAGTGAAAGCAGATAGGTATTATCAAAATGTTTGCCGAGCAAACAAGATACCTTTACGTTGTACCAGAACACGATAATAGTATAAACACGCCAGTCCTTGAAAGATTCGGCAAAGGACCGCGCCTATGTTTATGACACACGCTTGGACAGTGCCTTGTGAAGCAGAACTGGTCTGTTACAGATGGACTCGTAAGAATTGAAGGCTTAAGATAAGTTTTCATTGTCTCCAGATAAAAATACCATAGGAGTGCGCACACTTGTAGTCAGTGCCGTCTTGTCTCCAAAATTTTGTTTCCAGAGAGCTTCTCAAACAACGATTCAAGACGAAATTGTTGAAGATCTTTCCACGTAACAGTTCACATGGTTACGTTGTTTTCCTCTTCAAAGTATTTTCCCCGAGGCAGTTCTCAAACTGAGATAGACACTTGCCCGTGAACTTCTTACATGAACAATTTGAAGGAGAAATTTGCCATTTACCCAAAAAGTTAATGTTTTTTTAAAGTTTGTTCTTTCAACATTTGTAACACCCAAACGACATTTCCATTTCATACTTAAGTGATTTTGGTTTTGTTGAGACCTGAAGTCTACAGACCTTTTCCGTTTCCTGCGGATCTGACTTAATAATTATAATAAAAAAGGGGGAAGTCTGATTTACTTCTCTTCTTTCTTCACTAAAATCAAATTTTGATTATTTTAAACTTCAGCGATTATGTATTTTCTCATTCACAATAAGAAAGGAGAAAACTAGCGGAAGTTTATAATAGTAATAGACAGTTTATAATAGTAATATAGGAAGTTTATAATAGAAATATATAGGAATATATAGAATTTTATAATAATAATATTTATTACTGTTATTATTGATATTTATTATTATTGATTATTACTATTTATTATTATTGTTATTTATTATTACTATTATTATCCCGAACTTAATCCTTAATATTTTACCGTAGTTTTACGGATGTTAAAAAATCTTTGATGTTTCTCCTAAAGACCGACATACACTGGATAAGGTAACAACCGAATATCGATCTCTCGGGAAACAGCAAGCAACCCACCCACACTACTTGGGTTTGGGTAAGCGGTAGCTCGCCACGTGGTGAATAACGATGGTGTGGAGCTGCCTAGAACGGCGTTGTTAAGTGAATGTTAATTATGGAGTACTATAATATTGTACCCTTATTTATATAAATTAAAAAAAAGAAATATGAACCCATGAGCACAAAATTATTATTTTCATCTAAAAATATGCAGGTACTGCATTATTTTCAGAGTTCTTCCAAAGGAAATTGTAAAACAAGGCCCATTATGTGCAAAAACCACCACTCACTTTAAAAATCCGTGCACCTCCTTGACCCGTTTACTAGAAACTAAGTAAGTCTTAACAAGACGATTATTATTTTCTATTATTGGACACCTCGTTACCCGAAATATTGGACAGTCCCGAAAGACTTTAAGTTGGACACGACCGTTACTTTTTCTTAATCCGTTTGCCTGAGAGCTGAAACACTGGATTCCGGAGAGCGGTTTGAAATGTGGAATGAAAAGGTGCCTATGCCTTACAACTTGACAAGAATTCTTCTCATACTATTAATATTATTTTGAAAAATAAACATATTTTTGAAATACATTTTTCCGACAATACTTCTACTGAGTGTACTGCCATGATTTGTCATCCATCGTTCATAAATGCACGGATGTTGAATGCATTCAATCCACTCGTAAGCACTTCATAAACAATCACCAATATTATGTATTTGTGATGCTCCGTTTTCTAGAAAAATCTTTTTTCTTCTGAAAGTTGGGGCTTCTTTAACATTTAGATGTACCTTGTACATTGTACTAACCAATTTAAAAACCATACTGGCAAGTACGTTGTGTATTGTAAAATTATATAGAGATGATAGCGTTATTGAAAGTTCTGAACTTGTTTATCACATTTTCTATTGATTCCTTGTTATAATTGAAAAAATAAAAGTTGTCCAGGTATTTTAAAATAGTTGTTGTTTGCTTACGTTATAGTTATAGTTATTGACTTATGATATTGATAGAGTAAGTTAAAACATGTCTTCGCAATACATAAAAACTAAACTACAAAAAATAAAATTCTCCGAAATGTATTACATAAACTTTTCTTACAAAGCAATTGTTCCCTGAATAATCACAGAGAGAAGCGTGCTGGGCATTACAAGGCGTAGTATGTTTCCCCGAAATCGGCCCACAATCAGGTGACAAGTGTAAGCCCTGGACTCCGCTCCATCACAGCAGCGCACGCCCCTAGCAACGCAGCAACACCGCCTCACGGCGAGAGAGCGTTGCGGGACACGTGCGCGTCAGATCCAAACGCAAACAATCTTCCGGGAGCCCTGACGCGTTTACGCACCCCGGGCACACACTTCGCATTGTCGTCGCGCCGGCATCACGCCCGCGCCGCGTGACCCGGGAATCAACCCACGACCGCAACGCGTCTAAAAATACCCGCATCGTCGCCGCCACCGCCACCGCCTCCGCATCGCATCACCTCAAGAAGAAGCGCGCAGTGCGGCCTTGTTTGTCTGTTTTCACTTCTTTATCTCCTTTTCCCCGATAGGGGTGATGGAGAAGGTGGTGGAGAAGGAGGTTCAGAAGGAAAAGGTGGTGGCGGCAGAGAGTATGGATCCTTCGTCTGTGGTGGCAATGGCGGTGGCGAAGGAGGAGGCGGAGGACAAAGAGGGAGACGGAGGAAATGAGGAGGAAGAAGAGGAGGAGGGAGGACGGGGGGAAAGGAGTCGGATAAAGGAGGAGGAGAAGAAGGTGAGGACGAGGAGGGAGGAGGTAGGAGATGAGGAGGGGAGAGCGAAGGAGGAGAGGGAGGGAGAGGAGGAGAGGAGAGGAGAGGAGGAGGAGGAAACGGAGGAGACAAAGAGAGAAGGAAGATGGAGTGAGAGGAGGAGGGCGGAAGAGGGTTCAAAGAAAAGGTGGCTGTGGTGGGGCGGCGGCGGTTGGCGGCGCGGCGGCGGTAGGCCGTCTCGCCGGTGTGCCGTGGGGCTGGTCGGCTGGTGTGTGGAAGGGAGTGGTAGGGGAAAACACTATCAGGCGGGCGCGCTTGTTGACAACGGATAGTTGGCGCTTGGTCCGGCAGGCAGCAGGTCGAGAGCGCAGCCCAGCTGGTTAAGCAGACGTTGTGTGGAGCACCTGGAGCAGACGTGCAGAGGCGAACCCGAGCAGACACCCGGCTGTTGGAGACCCTGGCGCCGAACGCTGAACGTGCACTCACTCCGCGAGGACTTTTCCGAGCGTTTGCTTTCGTCTTCTTCCTCATCTGAGGCTTCGCTAGCACCAGATCACCATGATCATCACCAAGCAGGCTCTGCAGCTGGCCCAGCGCAACGTGAAGCCCGCTTTCAAGGTAGGCATGGGTTCGACTCCCGACGCCGGCCGGCGTGACAGAAGGCGCGATTCTTGCATTCGGCTGCTTTAGCAGTTTGTACTAGAGTTTTTGCATTACCGAAGTCTTTTCGTGGGTATCTTGTCCGTCTTAACTATTAGTAAACCAGTGCTGCCTGTTTTTTGCGGAAGGTCACTACCGCGAGTAGATAAATTTGTTCTGGTTTTGAGGTGCCATATATTACTTTTCCTTTGATATACGAGTTGTTTTTGTTGTTCTGAGTTGATATTCCCAAACAATTTTAAGTGTTTGTGGATTTAAATAGGAAAAACTACCGGGTATGTGTAAATCAGAAGGGTGAAATTACCATAGGTGAGTATAAATTTTGACTTGGACTGATTCTGCCTTCTCAAGTAAGCTTTAATTAATCAGTTAGAAAAGTTTTTATGGTCTTTATTGTGCCTCATGTACTATCGTATTGTTCCGAAAGTGTCTCATAATGCAGTAATTACAGCATGTGCGCCAAATGACGAAATGAACACCAAATAAATAAGTGCCTTAGGATTGTACATTTTAAGAAAGTCTTTTATCTAGGACTGGATTAAAAGTGCAGATATTTTTAACTTCTGGTATAATAAATAAACTGCATGGTAAGCCTATAAAGTGTGGGTAAAAGGCGAACCAATCTTTTTTTACTTCGAGAAATGGTAGTAAATTTATTGATAGGAGTCATAAACACACATTGGTTACAAAATTCACACTTGATGGGTTATTTTTCTTAAAAGAAACAGATTCTAAGTATTTATCGTTTATTTGCTACAACCTTGAAATGAAATTTCCTTATGAGGAGAAGCATTTGCAAATTTGCTCCAATTGCTCCTTCCTGATAAATTTGTTCAGCACTATTTCATTATTCTTTAGATAGCGCTCGAAATATCGTATTTCTCAATACTTTTCTATAACTCATTACATATCTCTCTCTACTTTTCAATAACTCATTTTTATCAACATTTTAGTTATGTCACTGTTGCAGCAATTGAGGGATATGTCGAAACATCGAATTACGTGTTCATTTCTTTACAAAAATGAAAAATTATGTGTATTTGTCAGAAACGTACATCAAAGCACTCACAAGAGTAGTAGTGGCATAGAAATTTGCTATAATTTTTATTTTCTAGCTCAGATGTTAATTTCTTTAATTACCAGATAGTTTTATTTTAGAATACAATTACTTTTTTTCCTAAAGACTCTCTGTACACCTTCAAGTGTTTTAGGTCTTACGAAATTGGATTCAAAAACAGCGAGTAATGTATTAGGTATATTCGTGCAAAAAATGTAGTAAAATTAGTCGATCTAAAGTGATGTGGATCATACTTTTAAAATGTCAGTGTCAATAAATTGTACATAAATTTTGTCTTTGAAACTAAAACTGCCTTCAGATGATATCACCTTAGTTTAATTATTCGTAAAAATGTTGAATAAATCAAATATTTCAAAGGTTATAAGTGTAAAGACACGAATCAATCTGGCGAATTTGAGAGAGAAATGAACGGTATTTAAAACGCGGCGGTGACTCAGAACGAAATCGAACCCATCAAAAGTGGGATGTCGAGATAAAGTGTTCAAATAAGACCAACTGACAAGTCTGCTATGATAAGAAGAGGGAAATTGTGAAAATAAATTGCACAGGAAAATACCAAAAAATATTTAAGGAACTTTTATTATTACATTTTTATTTTAAGAAGGTTTGCAAACCATTCTTTTCATGGGGCTCAATTGTGTAATCGCGCAAATTTTTTGCGAAGACAGCCAATTGCTTCAATCTCCGAGTACAGATAAAATGGTGCTGATTTACGTCATTAGAATTACTCCACTTTCTTTATCGGCGGTTGTTCTACATCGACCTACGACATGGTGCGACCTTAGATGACCCGATTCGCATCTCTGAGCCATACAGAATAATTAGATTATGATTAGGAGCTACTGTCTTTAACGAGGGAATTCGTGATGCTGCAATTCAGCTATTTTCAGCTTATCCTGTACACAAGTAACAGAGGGGAAAGTTTTAGTGATAACAATATAGACATGACTACGTAACAAAGATTAAGAAAACGTTTTTTATTAATTAAAAGCTTATACATTGATTGGGACGTTTTGCCGTTCCGAAGACATAAAATGGCAAATGGCACGCGCAATCAATTGCCGGAGAAATTGGAAATTCAAAATCAAATTTCAAATTGTGAAGAATCTCTTTCATCATTTTTTAATATATATTCTTAATTCAAGCACATTATCTGGTATCGGCGTAGATAATAGTAATCAATCAAGGACAGTTTTATTACTCAATTTACTATTACCCAATTTCATAACCCCTCTTTGCGGATTGGACAGACAAGTTGGAAGACGTTTTGGCTTCAAAATCCCCTCAGTTTTCATATTTTCTGTATTTTTATGCATTATCCTCAAAACTGCAATTTTTCTTCAATTTTAATACACCTCATTAATTCGGGCTGCTCAGTAATAATTTCTCTTATCTATTTACACAACAGATTAGAAACGTTGGCCATGTCCTGTTCACATCGACCATGGCCATGTCCTACTTCGCGCAGACGCTTATGGGTAGGGGTGGGCGGCGCTATCGCAGGCCTTGTCTCGGAAAGAGGCTGCTGCTCCAGGTCTGTGACCTCTGCTCCAACCGCGGGGCACAATAGCGGTCCCACATGGGAAACGTTTTTGCGAGAGTTCCTGTGTCCTGACACGACATTATGAGACAGACTGCACTGAAGGAACTATGAAGTTTACTAAGAAAGGAACGAGGAAGATGTTGACTTCGGAGATAAGATGTGACAGTGTTTATTCTGGCGATAAAGATATAAACTGTCAGTGCTGTTCAAATTCGCATTAGTATTTGGTTGAATCGTCAGTAAAGCTAGTGTTTTTCTTTGGCTGAATTAGGGACAACTGAAAAGATGCACGTATTCTACTCATAAGTGTAGCGTCTAGTGACCCTAATCACTTTCTTCAGTATTTGTTATCATTTGTCCCTTGATTACATGAACATACTCGTTTTTAACTACTAACGTAATATCATCTTACTCGTACTGAATTTACTTCTTTTCCTTTTTACATTACAGGTTACTACGACTATTTTGAAAGGAGACCTCCCTCTGCTTTAGTTGTTCCAATCAATATCAAAGAATTCAATGAAGACAGTTTTCTTGTAGAAATTATGAGTTGCAGATACAGCTATGACAACCAACTACACATTATTTAACGCACAGTGTAATCGTTGTCTCTTGTCATTGAAATCTCAATATACTGTAAACATGAACCTATTACGTAATCATAAACTTTAAATCAGACTGACACAACGTCAGTGTATCGCTGCTTCTACGAAATAATTCGTCTATCTTTAATCTTCAAGAATGTGAAGGCAAATCTTCGATTTTTCATTTCGTGCCGTTTTCATTCCGATCCTTCGTTTGGGTGCACTAAATCAGCACTCCGTGTTTCTTTGTGGCGACCCTCTTTAATTGAAATATATTACACTCTTTTCCCAAAAGAGAGAACGAACTATCAGAATGGTTGATGTTGAACGCCGTTGAGCCCGAAGCATCACGAGGAATCGGAGACTTGAGTGGCTCGACCGAACCACCTGAGAAGAACCGACCGTGCAGGTCGAGGCTCGCGCCTCTGCCTTCCCGCCGCCCCCGCCAGGGCATCGACCTCCCTTTTTCGGGCGGCGGCCCGAAAGCTGCTGGGATTGTGCCGGGCGAGGCACGTGGATTGGCCCTTCGAGTCCCGGGTTTGCCGCCCGCCGACCCCTCGCCCGACCCCTCGCCGCCGCCTCGCCCGCCGCCTCGCCGGCCACACGGCACATCGCTTTGGTGGCTCGCCTCGGTAGTCGGCCTCGGTTGCGGGGCGCATTTGCTTTGGATCGGCGTCTACTGATATCATTTGCGGTGACTAATGCTTGGTTTTATTTACAATAAACTGGGTAAATAACACCTGAAATGCACTTGCTAAATGTGTAATATTTAAATTCAAGAACGAGCAAAAGGTTTTGCTCCTTTGTCCCTCTCGGTACCATCAACACAACCTCCAGTCTCCTCTGCCTCTAAGTCGTTTCTTTGTTGCTCTCAACACCGCCATCACCACCACCTGCGTTCCACCTGGTCCATCTCGATGCCCGAAAGGCCCTTGCCACCGACCCCCCGGCCAACCGAGTTGCCTGCACCTCCCACGCCCGCGACCGCACCACCGCCCCCCTCCACAACCACCGCCGCCGCCGCCGCCAGCCGCCATCCAGGTCTCCGCGCAGGTCACGTCATCTTCACGTGAACAGCGAGTGCCTGCGACCGGCAGCCGGCGAAAGTCGCGCCTGGCAGCGCGATCGCCGATTCGTGTCACGACCCACGACAATGTCCCCGCCCTATCAAGGCGTCGAGCGAACTGCGCAGCACCTTTTGTCTCGAGGCGGGAGCTGTACCTTTTCTTATTGTTTTTCACATTTAAAAGTTTTGATTTACTATTGTCTTTCGTGCTCTCCCTCTGTATTAGATGTTTGTCTGTTCCCTATCGTCCCTAATGAGTCCTGAATGAATTCACTGTTTTCTTCAGGACAATGATGGTATTCAACAACACGTTGCGAATTCATGTGAATCTTCTGAATCGACTACCGCAACTTCCATGGTAGTATTACGATTCCCTTATGTAATACCTGGCAGGTGAATGACCTCGCTCGAGAGTCTGGGAAATGGAACTCAATCAACTGCTTTCTTTATAACTTCACATAACGGGGCAGCGAATGAATAGTGCACTTCCGTCCGTGCCATCAATGTGTTGTTTGCATGACACGACGGGACCCACCGTGCCCAAATGCATTCACAGCAGTTTTACAGAAGTAACTACTGTGTTATTTCCAAGAATACGTCAGCATCAAAATAACTTGTAACAATGATATCGCGATCTAAACAGGACAGTTTAGAGCTATTCATAGGTTTCGGTAAAATATCAGTAAG